TAATGTTTGTAATTAAGTTTGGAAAATTTCGTACGTACGTGTATGTGTGTGTGTGTGTGTGAATGTTTTCAGCGTCCGCCCGAACTGGGAATCGCAATGTAGTTTCCTTTAAGGCTAAATTTTCGTAGGCGAATGAAATCAAGAAAGAGTGAGAGCGAACTCGTGTCTGGTATTTATAATTAATTTAATCACGTGGTAGCCTCGAAAAGGCATTGACAGATTTTGGCGGAATTATTTTTAGTCAGGTCAAGAACTAAGTCGATGTTCTTCGGACATGATTTAAATATTAATTAACCAATCAGAAGTTGAAGTTTTCTGAATATATATATATATATATATATATATATATATATATATATATATATATGACGCTCGATAAGCTCTGTGATCCACTTTTGCACCGAAATCGACATTGATATTCGGATATGATTTAAATATTAAGTGTACAATCAGGAGTTGAGATTTTCTGGAAATATGTCTGAAGCTGAGTAAGCTCTGTGATCCGCTTTTTGCTCAAAAATTGAGATTGGTAAAAGTGAGGTAGCGGGATTCTAAATGCGGCCATTTAATCATCGTGATTAAATAACTCTTACAAAAGAGATTTTACACCTAACAGTTTGATTATGTTTTAACAAGAACGATTTTACTTACTACTTTGATATGCAATGCTTACGGCTTGTATCTACTAAAGTGTGATATCCGTATTATTTTTTTAATCCACGGGAGCTGGTGAAGACAAAAGTTCTCACTGTACAGTTAGCAGAGGTATCTTGGAATGTCATACCTGATGGAAGATTTGAAAGAGATTTTATTGAATTAAGATTTCTTTGTTTCCATCACAAACGGTAAATCACACAAAATCCTTTCTAATAATCGGATGCGTAGCGTTATTCATGCATTTTGTTAATTACTGGTTCGTTTAATGAAAGGTTTATACGTGCTTTAATTTTAAAAAAAAGTTTCTTCTCCATTAGATCACATTTATTTAAATCCTATTTTATTTCTTTTCAGTTATTTTGTTAAGACAGTTTGGTCTGCATTTCATTTTTTTGTCTTCCTTGAAACCATTTTTCTTTGTGAGTTTCTCGCCAATCTCTTTTGTTGGTGATTTTCCGTTAGTTTCTGTCGCTTGTGTGCTTCATTCATTCCGTTGGGTCTATTCCATCCGTTTTTCCCTTATTCAAAGTACCATGATAGTTCCTTTATCAAATTTTCTACATGGATGCAGAACAGAAAAAAAAACTGATTATTCAGAGTTCTGTCTTATTCCTTTATTTATTACTATATTTCGATAGACTGTCTTTGCAGATTAAAGATGGTATTTCTCAAAAGTCCATGTATCGCACTCTAAATTCCGCAGAATATTCATTGGTTTTCAATCAAACTGCATGAATAAAAATTGCTACAAATATATACAATGGGGAAAATTGTCGCTATCTTATATTTTTAATTTCGCGCATGCGCGTTGATTGATTTTTTTTTATTTTGTTGAGTGCACAATATAGCAGGGATAGTTGGACACCGTCTGTGAGAAAAAGGACACCATGAAGCAATTCACTCCACCAGAGATTTGGAAACGACATGCTGTACTATTTGGCATTCACGCCAAAAGTTCCAATACGAACATTTCAGAGTGTTTGGATGTGCCGAGTATTCCGAAAAGAGTTGAATGTGTCTAATGGTGATCACGAAAAATACACTCTCGTCATACTGATAAGAAAAGAACTAATGAATTTGTTGGTGAGATCCAGGCCATGATTGAAAACGATTCCTCTAAGTCAATCAGGCAGTTAGTGCTGCTTTGTGTCAAGTGTTTTGGCTTCTTGAACACCCTATGTCTGGCATCAGGATTCTACATTATGCCCCCAAAATAGGAGAACCCAATCTTGGCAGCCAGACAATTTCTGAGACTACATCAACCCTTAAATCTGGTCATCTAACTCACCAAAGTGCAACGCCCTTGAGCGAGAGACCACAAGAGACCACAAGACTCCTTGTAACACCAATGGATGAACTGAAGTTAATGATTATGACAGGATTCACCAACTTAACCAAGGAGACCGTCTAGAAGAGTTGCAAGAGACTCCGAAGTCGTCTGAAGGCCGTGGCTGAAGCCAATAGAGATTTTATTGAACAAATTTAGTGATTTAGTGCTTCAAGATATTTTTGTGCAATTTTGGTAAATATATCTGTTAAAATGAAATGTTAGTGTTATTTTAATTTTTGCGTAATTAAGACCCAATCTGTTACACCGACCCTTTATGTGTGTGTGTGTATGTGCGTGTGTGTAAACTTTCAGATGACTAAAACATAAAAATAAATATAAAATACAATATGGTGAATTTCTAATTATGGCTCAGATGTAGCACGAGGCCGAAAATATAGTCCGACCTAGAGAAAATCGAACTCGCTTTTCAGTCATAATTGATGTAGCGACACACGTTTGCTAACCCTTACCTCACTTTAAAATGCCCTCTTTCACAATATAAATAATAACAAAAGGAAAATTTATCTCAGCCAACGCGTTTTGTCCTGTCCTTATCAAGGAAAATGTAAGGATTTTATTTTGTAACGCGTATTTATAAACAAAAGTAAAATTGTTGTTAGTCTTTCAGAATTTAATACATATAAAAGACGTTCACAAATATTCATCAGGTTTGATGTACGTAAATTATGGAAGGTGCTAATTACATAATTTAATTTCTAATAAACGAATTCATTTACTCACTTTCGTTTATTAGGCATTGGAATACATCATTTACCCTCAACATTATAAAATTAATAAAATTGTAATAAAACAAATGGAATAAAATATTTATCTTTTACCAATTCATAGAGAAATAAATATGAAAACAATTTTTGGTTCATAACTTTATAAACATTAACTAAATTATTAAAATATGTGAACCAACTAAATCTTTCTTGTTTACCATTTTATAAAATTCGAATTGAATGGCAATATTTTGCCTATCATAACAATAAACAATCTAAAACGTAAATTGCGTAAATAAACAATCTAATGAATAAACATTGCCAAGGGGGGCTTGTTAAAATAATAGCTGTGTCAAGTGAAATCCGTCCTTTTGAAACTTATTTTTTGTGGTCAAAAATTGGCTAAATTTCTATACATCTCAACAATGTTGAATAATTGAATAAAAAAATCTTCAAAGTCTCTCTATTTGGTGTACATTCATAACTGGCATTTATCTCTCTCTATTTACTTGCTCCCTATGGACTCATGCACAAACACACACATATATAGATAGCTAGCTAGCTAGCTAGCTAGCTAGATAGATAGATAGATAGATAATGTTATGGGACCTTACCCATAATAACATAATGGACTATTCCATACGTAATAAATACTGCGCCTCAAGAGGGAGCAAGGAGTTAAGTCTGAAGTCTGGAGTGAAGTCAGTCAGTCCAGTTAGAGCCAGTCCGAAACAGAGTCGCGTTCAGACAATTACTACAAGACATTGGAATAGTGATACTGGTCGAGACTACATTGTTCTCCCTACTAAACCTGATTGTTCGTACTAACACTTTCTATTTCTCTGTATATATTCCTGTTTGTAATATATCTGTGTTATTCCATATCCGTGTTCGAGTTCTTCTTTATTGGTTCTACCTTGAACTATCACCGTGGTACAAGGAACCGGACCATAACATAGATAGATAGATAATTTCATCACTCAGAACAGTGAGTTTGAGGAAGTCCTTTTAGAGAACGAAACACGTTATACTGTCTTTTTGAATTTTGGCATTTAGGTACCGAACACAGATCAGTAAATGCATTTATAAGATCCAGACCCCACAATACGCATTTATATTGCATAAGTTCGTGCATGTGCCAAATGCTATCCTTAGCTACATTATTTCACGACTCTTGCACATGTTATCGTAACACAGAAAGATTTCAGGTGGATTAACTGAATGAGTCAGTCGTTGCAACATCATGCCTCACAAGCGCTTAAAGTTGACGCAAGTCATGTCAACCAGGACAGTTGCCGAACATTTCTCAGTATATGCTAATCAGTACCAGGTTGTTATAGTGGAACACATCTATTCTACAGTTAATAGACTCTCCCACCTATAATAAGTAGGAGTGGTAAGAGTAACAAGTCAGTCGGTGAGTGGTTCGGTCAGTCAGTCGATGCCGGACGACCGTTAGTCGGATACTAAAATATCAGCGACCACATCTAGATTTTCTCTGCGTCATTACCTATTTTATCAAATTCCTAACGTTTTGTACGTCGAACCTATTTTAGGACCGACTTAGTACAAATACAAGCCTCCACTGTGAAATCTCTCCATAACACAGGTACACGTGAATGATCATAATCTTTTTAGGACCATTATATCGCCTTCCTGCTGTAGAAATGGAAACATGAAGAACTGATGAGTATGTTCACTTGACAACTACATCTGCACAAAGGCGGGTTGCAGGTTAATCTACCCTGAACTATCTCGTCCCACGGGTTTATGTTCTACATGCAAATGACCATCACATTTACGAAGGCATAGAACGGAATGTTCAGCACCGAAAGGCGCATGCGAAGCGCGAAAGATTCCTTCCAAAAGCAAAACGAAGTATTAAGCAACAGGAAAATGACATTAGAAGCAAAGAAAAGAACACTGAACACTTCAACTTATATGACATCGAATCCTGGACAACATACTCACAAATGAATAAAGAACTTTAGGAAACAGAAATGTGACTCTACAGAAGGATGCTGAGAAAAACATGAGCCGAATATGTGAGCAATGAGAAAGTTTTAGAGAAAATGGGAATAAAAACGAAACTTATCCTTAACATCAGAAAGAGAAAGTTCCAAATTCTAGGACACATAGTGAGGAAAGGGGTCTTAGAAAATTTGACACTCACAGAATATTTCGCAAGCAAGAGGGACAGTGGAAAACGCTGCATAACCTACCTAATGCGCTTGTGTAAATTGAGGTAAAACAGGGTTTAGGAGAGATTGCAGATAGGGAGTAATTACTAAGATCAACAAAGACAGGAAATTGTAGATAGTCATGGTCGCCAACATCCTGAATTGTATGGCAAGAAGAAGAAAAGAAGAAGAAGAAAAGAAGAAGAAGAAAAGAAGAAGAAAAGAAGAAGAGAGGAAGAGGAAAAAGAAACGAAGAAAAAGAAGAAAAAAAAAAGAAGAATAAGAAGAGAAGAAGAAGAGGAAGAAAAGAAGAAGAGGAAGAAAAGAATAAAAATAAGAAGAAGAAGAAAAGAAGAAAAGAAGAAGAATAAGAAGAGAAGAAGAAGATGAATAAAAGAATAAGAAGAATAAGAAGAGGAGAAAAAGAGGAAGAAAAGAAGAGGAGGAAGAAAATAATAATAATAAGAAGAAGAAGAAAAGAAGAAGAAGAAGAAGAAGAAGAAAAGAAGAAGAAGAGAGGAAGAGGAAGAAGAAACGAAGAAAAAGAATAAGAATAAGAAGAAAAGAAGAAGAGGAAGAAAAGAAGAAGAGGAAGAAAAGAAGAAGAAGAAGAAGAAACTATTCTTGTAAACCTATCACAGGATTCCATTTTTCCACTAATCGGGCAATGAATACCTTACGTTACATCTCTTTTGAAGATCGCTTCGAAAAACTAGGACAGGGACGTTGAAAGCTCTCCGGGAAACAAATGATTAAAATCGGCGAGAAATGAGTCCTCTAATCTTGTTCCCAATATATTTTGTTGCTTAATTCAGTGCTTGACTTGCGCGGTCTGGATGGAGAAGCAAGAGAAACGTAAGGCAATATTGGCTACCTCGGTCGAACAAATAAATCAGCTCTCCACTTTAACACTTCCTCTCACCAACTCTGCCGAATGCAACACCACGAGGGGCAACTGACAATTGCAACGGGCGGCATAGGAACTACCTGAGGAAAATGTTCTGCCTGTTACCCTGTGATCCATATCTAAATCACAACTGTAATCGTTAATACAGACGTGTGTTCGGAAATCTTCAAAGTCCGTTTTTTCCCCACTTTTTCCTAAAAGTTGTTTTACTTATTTATTTATTCCTTTTCATTAATGGATATTGATTTATTCCCCTTTGATGATATCGGTAAGACGATAATTTAAAAACTTATCTCTGGTGATAAAAAGTAATTGATAGTATTCCAACTTGCGTCAAATTATGCAAGGGAAATTGCCGTTTAATCAGATGTGCTTTGACCACTCGTCTACGTGACGGGTGAACATCGCAATCAATAAGGTTCAATTTTACTTAAAGCATACCTTACTCCCTCAGATTTTTCAATTCATAACTGCTCAGTTTCTGTTCGAAACGTTGACAAAGGAATAACTAATGAATTAGTAGATGTTATTTTTAATCCGACATAATTATTTTCTTATCTTATATATATATATATATATATATATATATATAAGTAAATACTCTGTTTATGACAAACAGTATTAAACAACATTTACCGGCCTGAATGTCCGAGAAATTTTCACAGAAAATATTCGTCCTCCGACAGGATTCGAACCTGTACCCTATACGGAACCGTCATTTAGCTTGACGTGCCTTTAACCGATTTGGCCACAGGGGAGCGTTCGGTTAGCAAGGTCGAATTTACTTTATTTGAACTTCAATCTTCTATGAATCTCTCACGTACATTCATATCTGGTCATGGCGTATCAAATGTAGACAAATGATAATTATTTTAAGACATTTATATATTTATTTTCTTATTATATATATATATATATATATATATATATATATATATAATAAGAAAATAAATGGGCTAGACTATATACTAAAAATAAAACTGAAATTTAAAACAGTAAGATATTTCAGCGTCATTTCGTGTCAATTTGTAACTACATCAACTTTAACACTTATGAAGTATTAAAGGACGAAATGGTTCACACTAAAACATCTCTCTATACATGTATTGCCATCCACAAACAGTCTGTTTCGCTGTATCACCTTTCATCAGTGAAGCTAGACATCCTATTACCTCAAGCCGTGATCGTACCACGATTGATTTGGCATTATTTGATCTGTAATAATAGATACATTGAGCTCTTTTCGTGGGTCAGTTTAATATTTTATATTACTAAAATCCACTTGGATTATATACCAACGCATTTGTTACCTTCACTATATATATATATATATATATATATATATATATATATATATATATATATATATATAAATAGACGCGTTTCGAAAAACCCTCGAATTTTTGATTTGCTAATCAAATCAATCTCGAGGGAAAAAAGGTTTTAAAAAAAGAAAGAGCTACAAACATGAACTTCTGCCGACAAAAAAATCCGCACAGATGCATGTCTGAAGCCCAAAGAAAAAACCCGATACGAGTAACAACTAACTAACAAAAGAGCTCAATACAACCGTAGAGCAGACCTAGATACACCTAGTGAGCCAGACAAACCTACCTAGGTTTCACCTAAACGGATCGTCAGGGAAAGTTTGGCTTAAAAAAAGATATTATAACCACACGAGTAGTTTTAAGAATGCAAAAATTAAACATAGTACCACGCTATCTACCTAGGTATGGAAAACCAAACAAGAAGATAATATAGACCCCATCCATAAATGGGAAATATTAAAAAAATGCCCAAAATATAAAGCAGGCCATAAATTTTGCAAATTATGTGCTGAGGAGAAATTAGCCATAGCTTTATATGATCAACCTAACCAGCTATTAAACTCTAAAACTGAAATTCTCAATGTATGTAGACATAAAAAAATCTTGGCTACTAAATTAGACGTTTTCCCGTTATTGACTTTCCACTGAGTTTTTTTTTTTTTTTTTTTTTTGTTGAATAAATATTTATCCCCCCCCACTTAGGTTGCTTTTGTTTGTTTTTTTGTTTTTGTCACGTGGTATGATTTTAGCTATCACCTATAAATATGTGTTTCTCTTTGCCTCGTTAGCCAAACTTTCCCTGACGATCCGTTTAGGTGAAACCTAGGTAGGTTTGTCTGGCTCACTAGGTGTATCTATCTATCTATCTATCTATCTATCTATATATATATATATATATATATATATATATATATATATATATATATATATATATATATATATATATATATATATATATATATATATATATATATATATATATATATATATATATATATATATATATATATATTTAAATTTTCAGATTTATAAAATTTATACATCATATTATGCGATATATATTATTTATATCATGAATAACTGTGCAGGTGTGACACTGTGTATGTATTTTTAACTACGGAAGTGACTGTGCATTATAATTATGAACATGTAAATATCTAATTGAATCTGGTGTTGTCTGTAAGCGTCTTTCCTCTTTTCCTGGTGAGAGACAGATAAGTTGAATTAGACCACGCTCAAAGGTTATTTATGCGCGGGAATGACCTTCTCTAATGTCTATACCTTTTTTCCATTATATTGTTTTGTTGCCCGACAATTCTTTCATTCTTTCATTTATCTATTTTTATTTTTATTTATTATTAATAAGGTATTTGTTTTTCTTGTTCAGTGATATGACTTTCATCACAACAGGAAAAATCTTTACTTAATCTATTCCATATTTTCTGTTTATAACTATACACTAGTCCTGATAATATTTAGACAAACGACATTTATTCGACCCTTTGCTGTTAAATTCAAATGCCACCAGATAACGGCACGGATTTATTGGCACTTATTGTCTTCCGCTCAAATGCATATTCGTGAAGTTAGGCTTGTCATTTAAGTAATCACAAAGAAACATGCGTCATCACATTTTCTCCAAACACATTTCAAGTCTCACACAGTTGTAATCCTATTTCGTCTACCTACCTAAGTGTGGCACAAGGTTAAATAATAAAAGCCATTAGGGTTTGGAAGAATGTATTGGTCAAACTTTACAACTGGCTAAACATGTGAGTATCCTGGCTCTTACCTTACGTTCTTGGTACCGAACGGAAATCTATCTAGCCATGATCACTCGACCACGAAAAACATGCATTTAAAATGCTGATATTTGATTATTGGTCATACATTAAATAAGACGTTTTGAAAAATTCAGAGAATCGATTTATATATATATATATATATATATATATATATATATATATATATATATATATATATAAATCGATTCTCCCGTCGGGTTCGACGTATGAGGGTCAAGCAGATCAGTTTCCAGGAAACCGACTGCCCGACACATGAGATTTGATTATAGTGGTGAAGGCATCGTGCAGGACCATCCACACTTTTTGAAGAGCCGATTACAGAGACCTGATGCACTACGTGCCACAAGGTCCCCAAACAACCACCCCTCAGGTTTTGAATTCAGAGTTGTCCTTCTCCTAGACCAGTTGCCATCCAAGGCTATAGAACCCAGTCTGTCCTGCTATTTTACCCATAGCTGGAGGGAGAAGAAGGATTCACACCTTGGAAAAAGGTGTGATATATATATATATATATATATATATATATATATATATATATATATATATACAAAAAGTATTTCACCCCATACATGGCAGAAAAGCCACTAAAGCACAAGGAGAAACTAAGCATTTTCCTAGAATTAGGAACAGAAAAAAATAATAATGAGCAGGAAGAGAAAAGAGTAAAGATAACGACTGACATTGGATTTTAAATATTTGTAGATTAAATTTGGCTGGAAAGCATGGAGCCGGAAGTGAGTTCCACAAGGCAGAAGTACGATAAAATAAACACTTTGGCATAGAATTTACGGTTAATTCTAAACAGCTCAACTTTAAATTGATGAGATGTCGACGTCAGTCTAGTAATATATATATATATATATATATATATATATATATATATATATATATATATATATATATATATATTTTGAAACAGTACAGAAACGTATTATGGGATAAAAAGCAAGAAATGTTATATTATAGGCCATGATAGATTTAAAATAAAAACAAAAACACACACCAGTCGACCGGTTTCGTCCCCTCTCATCAGAACTGTTAAAGGGGAACACAAATTATGAAGAGAAAAAAAAAAGAGAAAGTCTATCATGCATGAATGAATGGACATGGAGAAGAAAAAAAATAATTATAAAAATTATACCAACAAAGATGCTAGAAGCGCAGCACAGCAAGTCCAAGCAAACAATTTCTTTGTTAACAAAGAGCAGGTCGCCTGGACCTGATGTACAGCGTCTCCAACACCTTAAGATGGAATAATGAGTGTGCTCTGGCCAAAACGGAAAACCAGTTCACACTGAAATCCATCGCACGATCGGGATTCTTTATAAAGTGATCCGCAATCGAAAAACCATACGTGTTACGAATGGTATCGCCCAACGAAAAATTTTTGTTCACTATTACAGCGAGTACGTGTTGTATAATTCTAACGTTCAGCCGCTGTGTCGTTCTACCTATGTAGCCGCATCCACAACTACATTTGAAAGAGTAAATAACAGAGTTAATATGGTGGGGGGGTAGAACATCTTTACACGTAGATGAAAGTACGGACTTAGTTTGAAAAACAACACGAACGTTCGCTGCAAAATAACACTCACGTGAACTACATGAA